CCCAATATTTCATTTTTAAAGCATTTAATATTGGTTTTATTAAGAAAAAAGTAATATCCGTAAAAAGTTATTTATTCTAAAACAAATACAAAAAGTGCGCAAAGTATCTGTTAAAAAGTCTAACGCTTTTTACACCTTTTTGTTTGAAATCCTATTGCATATAGATATTTAAATTAATCTAGCTTGAATGAGTATGTCGTAATGTATATTTTGATTTTACACATTTAGACAATATATATTTTATTGATATCGTACGAACAGTACATTTGATAAATTCAAAGGTGCTGTAAATGCGATAAATACGGTTTATAAAAATATCTATATGATTACGGAGAACTAATATAATAAATATATATGTGATATAAAGAAATATGAAGAAATCGCCTTATTTCTATGTACAATTACATGTATTATATTGTTTGCTTTGAACGACGATCTCGTTATATACAATTCGCTATTTTGTGTTTTATGATTACAAATCGTATCTTATCAAAATCAAGATTATTTTATTTTATCTTATATTGTGCAATTTAACGCATTTTATATAAACTTGTCTGTGTCGTAAAATTTTCGAGACTAATGCAAAATAACATTCATGAATATAAAAGTCGTTTCTTGAAAAATAGGAAACAACATTCATAATGTTAATCCAAAATCAGATCAGTAAAAACTGGCACTGTTGAGAACACTACGCTCATCGTCAAAACGAGCTCATAACAAGTCACCAGCGATATTCCAATTTATGTACACATAAATGTACACATTAATTGTGCTCGTCTTTACGACACACTCGCGACGCTTATCATCGCATTACTCGATCATTGCCATTATCACCATCACCAACCACTAACTGATGCACGTTCAATTCCATAAAAATTCTGAAGCGTAGTCTATAATGGGCAGTAGGAATATGTTCATAAGAAGTAAGAATAAGAAATTTACCAATTATATCCAAATATAAGAAAAATAATCGACTATGATTGGTTAATTTCTTGTTCGAACTTCTTATAAACATACTCCTATTGCCTATTGTAGACTATATTTAACAGAGAAGCTAAAGAAACTCCATGACACGAGTACTCGACTATGAAACTACAGAGTACACGTTTATCCCTTTTTTACTCAAAATACAAAATGAAAATCTCACACGTATTATACATTCATGTGCAGGGCGGAGGTTGTTGTTGCGGAGAGGGAAGGGGCGCCGCTGCGGCGGCTGCGACCGCAGCGGCAGCAGCATAGGACGACGGGTCTGAAGGATCGAGAAGCGGTGGCGGCGGCGGTAGACTATTACTGCCACCTCTTCCTCTACCTCGTCCTCTACCACGACCCCGGCCCCGGCCCCTCCCCCTTCCGCGTCAACTCCGCCTTTCCGGCATCCCTATGTTGCTCGTGGTCTTTTCTAGAAAAGCTAGTGGCCCTTGAAGAGCGCTACTTCCAACACCTGCGACTGGGAACCCGGTAGTGCCCCTGCCGCTGCTCACACCCACGCCACTTTGAGCCATAAACATGCCCTGCTGATTGACTGACACACCAACTCCCTGCAAACTAGACGTTGGCGGCCCACCTGAACCCTGTTGCACCTGCAAAATCACACGCCACATGTCTTATCGTTTAACCAACATTCTAATTACATATTTTTCTATAAGTGAGTCTCAAATTAAAATTCAAATTAAAATAAATGAAAGTAAAATTTATTTGAAATTCACTAATGGATATTATTTTCTCTTTTACTTGTTCTTTTGAAACTTAGTCCATAAGAAGTTCCGTTTTTCAATCATCCGTAATTTGGAATACTATACATTTTTACTAAGATAATATTAAATTCAAATTCATCGGAGATTCATTGTAAAAGCTAAGACACCATTGTACAGAAAATCCAGCATAGTAATAACAAAAAAGATAAGCTTCCTGTGCTAATCTGTCTTTTTTAGCTGTAACATATGAAAGAAGTATTACATTCCATATTTACGAGATGATTACATTTAAAAATATATTGCTATGTGCATGCATATGTTAAAAGATATATATAAACAAGTGTGTTCATAGTTCGACATTAATAAACGACGACAAAAATAGGGAAATGAAAGGAAAAATAATGTTCTTGTATTTCTTTTGTATAAGGGAAACAAAAAATAATAAAAATATTTATCCCTCTGATGTCTATTTGCGAATAAAGACAACAAAAGTGAAACGATATTCTCAATTTTCAACATGGCATATAATGCTTCATCACGAATAATTCGCGAACTTAAGATTTTGATATTTTATATAATAACCATTACAACCATTTTTATTACCTAAATACAAAAAAATATAAAGCTCCGCCTTTGAACTCACAGCTACGCTTCGAATTTCCCTTACTTATCATAAGTTATTGACTAAGTTAATCAAATTTCAATTCACGATATTTCAATTGTTATTCATTCGATTCAAAAACTGTAAATGTGACTTTTTGGTTCAATTCCCTAGTGAAAAAATATCTCAGAATTTCGATGAAAATTTAAAGACCTCAGAATGTTTCAGATTTTTTACAATTTTTACAAGGAAACAGAAAAACTTAGACAAAAAATAAAAAATCCTGAATACTTCTGAGTATTTTCGAGTAATTCTTAGTATTTTTTCTGAACATTTCCAGTTCGAAATTTCTGATTATATATATAAATCTCAAATTTTTTTCATAAAATTTTATATTAACCATTTATGATTAGAATATCATTGTTCCGTGAGATACACATTTCGTTGATTCATAACTGTATTTGTAAAGAAATAGCACTTTTAAATCAAACTTTACAATTAAATAATGTCAAATCTTATAAAAATTACACACACACACACACACACACTAAAAAATAAAATTATCTGTTTATTATTTCTCATTTTGAGAATATTACCTCCCTTCATCCTCCCTTATTAAAGTTTTCGTTATGACGATTAATATATGTGCATCATCAAAATAGTTACAGAACAAATAATTATACTAAGATATAAAGAGATATATTGCATAAAATAATACGATGTCTTAGAAAACCAAGATATTGCGAGTAATTAAACAATATTATAAAGAAAACGCACAATATACAGGTATTTTGCTTTTTCAATGATTTTTCATCTCTTTTTTTATCAATTTGGTCAGAGGAGAAAGTAAGAAAATTTTTTATAGTTTATATTTATACACTGGAGTCATTAAGGCTCCTGGGTCTTTTCGGCTGTCCTTGTTTGAAGACATCAAAAGCGAGAAATCGCGAAAATATATAACGATATACATAGAAATAAGAGAATAAGAGCATAAAATACTTACGATAGATTCAACACATAAATATTGGGTCTATGCATAATGCCGTAGCGAAATTCCGACAGATATCGTTCGCAGTTGTTTTTCCGCTCGCACATGCGTCAACCATATGAAATGTCATACATTAAGTGAAAGCTGAAATTTATGCCGACATTTTAAGAAAGTATTCATTGAAATCCGTGACGTATACGAAGTTTAATTATATTTTGAACATGGAAGGAAAAAACGCGTCGCAAACTTACAAAAAGATATGCGCCGTATACGGAGAGAATGTCGTAAGCGAAAGTGTGTGTTGGAAGTGGTTTGCGAAATTTCGTTGCGGAGATTTTGATCTCCAAAATACTCCTCGCCTCGGACGGACAATCACTATTGATGTCGATCAAATCGAGGCTTTAATCGTCTCCGACCGGCATTTGACGATTACAGAGATCGGACATAACCCCAACATTGACCAATCAACTGTTTCGAAACATTTACGGAAACTTGGGATGGTAAACAAGCTTGATATTTAAGTGCCGCACGAACTGAGCGAAAAGAATGTAATGGACCGAACTTCAGCTTGCGATTCGCTGCTCAAACACCATCAAAACGAACCATTTTTAAAGCGGATGATCACTGGCGATGAAAAGTGGATTGTCTACAATAATGTTAGTCGAAAAAGATCATGGTCGAAGCGCGGGGAAGCTGTTTAGACAGTCGCAAAAGCTGGATTATACCCGAAAAAGGTCATACATCAGTATCTGATGGGATTGGAAAGGAATCGTCTATTATGAGCTGCTGCCATTCAACAAAACGATTGATTCGACCAAGTACTGCTTAAAACTAGCCAAATTAAAGCGAGTAATCAATTAGAAGCAACCCAGATTGGCGAACAGAAAGGGTGTTGTGTTCCACCAGGACAGCACTAGACCACACGTTTTTCTGATGACCTGGCAAAAGTTATTGCGGCTTGGGTAGGATGTTTTGGTGCACCCACCGTATAGTCCGGACCTTGCACCTTCAGATTATCACTTGTTCCGGGCGCTACAGAACAATTTGAATAACAAAACTTTCAGTTCCCTGGACGTCCTCAAAAACTACTTGGATGACTTCTTTGCGCAAAAATCTCAGCACTTCTATAAAAGAAGGATAATGAAGCTCGTGGAGAGATAGCAGAAAGTTATTAAACAGAATGGAACATATTTAGTTGATTAAAATTGCTTTTTTTGTTAAATATTTTACGTTTGAAATTTACTCGATTTTCGCTACGGAATTATGCATAGACCCAATAAAAATATCCGGACGCTTTCTTTTAACCTAAATCATCAATAAATAATAATAAATAAGTATGTCGTTAAATTAACAGTAGAAATCGTGAAAAAATACAAGTTAAAAACGTAAATTGCATGTTACACTAATTTTCTAAATACTGATGAGTACCCAGAATCGATTCCTCCCAACATTCTACATATAAAAATATTAAGATAAGGTTACCGAAAAATGGATATTTATTTCCGTAATATTTCTTTTTCTCACATTTCTTTTTGATAATTTTCGTCATAAGATATGAAATATCTTGCTTCCTGTGTATTCTACAACTTTTAATTGAATATTTTTGTCTCTTTCTTAACACATTTACTATTTATAATTTATATAAATATATTATTTTATTTGCAATAACTTTACATACAGAATATAACTGAATGTAGCAAACAATCTAAGAGTGATTCAGCATTTTAAAACAATAAAATACATTCCTATAACTTTATATTTANACTTTTATAATGAATTGCTGGAACACGAAATTTGCTATCACTCGAAATTAAAATTAAATTGAATATATTTTTAAGAGCTTATTTTATTACTTTTATAAGTGCTCAATCCATATGTAAAATGTATGTTGCCTATTGAGATATACCGCATGATTTCTACATCATAGTTATAGTTAATTATCAAAATGCTTTAATTTCTTATGTTTTTTATACAATATATTTCTCTCAGTGCAGACAAAAATTATATAAAGACACTTATACATGCAATATCTGTGCAGATATTCTTTTTATTCAGAAGAATTGATATTCTAATCATCGTTTTAAAAAAACAGATTTTTTCAAGTATTCAACAATTCATGTTCACGAATTCATATGCTCTGTGTTTGTGTGACTGGAATAAAAAAAAATTAGTTTGAATTTAAATGTAGTTGCAAGTACTTAAATATTTATAACAGTATATATTATTGAAAGACCCGAAATGGTCTAAAACATCTTATGTATTAACCTATATATTAACCTGGTATTTTCTATATCTTCCAATAATATGACTTTTATAGATATTTATGCTATTTATACACTTGTACTTAGGTTTTAAATATAATTATCTTTTTTAATTGCAATTTTATATCAGAAAGTTTTGTCATCATTTACTCTTCCAAAGTTATTTAATAATATATAAGTTTGGTATAGCTACAATTCTGTAACACATATATTATCATGCATACACACAAATATTTACGTTACACAAATAATTGCTTATCTCAAATTATACATATAGGAGGGCGGTTCAATAAGTACCCGTGTTAGACGACAGAGGGCGTTCCTGAGGGAAGTTGGTGTTATCATCGTGTGCTGTCATCTATCAAACGACGGCAAAACAAATTGCAGACTGATTGATAGGTTAGTTTGGATTTGACAGCCATTCGAGTAAGACGTGTTTCGTGATTTTCGCTAAGATGGAAAAAGAGCAGTATCGTTCGGTAATTCGCTTTTTGATTTTGGATGGGAAAAATGCGAGGAGATAAAAGCAAAGTTGGATGCTGTTTATGGGGACACTTCGCCATCTATGACCACAGTTAGATATTGGTTCAATGAATTTAAACGTGGGCGAACATCCGTTTTTAATGAGGAGCGACCAGGACGCCCGGCAAACGTGGTTACCAAGGAAATCATTCAAAAAGTCCACGACATGATTCTCGCTGATCGACGAACGAAAGTGCGCGAAGTAGCAAAGGCCGTAGGTGTGTCGACCGGAATGGCAATTAATATTTTACATGATAAGTTGGCGACGAAAAAATTGTCGGCCCGATGGGTGCCGCGATTGCTCACAGTGGAAAGCACATTCATCCGGAGTTGTCGCCGCCAAACTGCATGAATTGCGTTATGAATTGCTGCCGCACCCCCCGTATTCACCCAATCTGGCTCCCTGCGACTTTTTCTTGTTCCCTAACATGAAGAAATGGCTCGCGGGAAAAAAATTTAGCTCAAACGAGGAAGTCATCGCCGAGACAGAGGCGTATTTTGGAGAGTTCGACAA